TTAATTCTCCTGGCAAGCAACTGTCAAATTCACTCACAGAATAATTTGTAAGCACTGTTTGAACTATATTTTGTGCCAAAAAATTGTTATTGTAATCTTCTGCCAGATGTTCCCTTAGACCTGAATGCATGTTGTTGTCCAGTTCCTCTTCTTTGTACCATCAGGCACTCAACAAGCTCATCATATCCTTAAGGACTTTATCCTTTGGCCTCACTGCCTATCAAGCTTCCATACCTATCTGCGTGCTCTCTGACATTGTAAATATTTCCCTTTCCTCAAGTAGTGTCTCACTTTAATATCAATGCTTGTGCTGCCATCACCTTTACCCCAAAACCTCTCATATTCTGTGTTATGTCTGCTATCACTCTGTCTCCAACCTCGCTGTATTCTCCTAAGTTCTTGCTATAAATGTTGTCCAATAAATCAATGCCCATCTTTTCACAATTAGGTATTTGAATACTGCTCAAAGATATATTTTGTTAAAACTTCCCTTTAACCCATCAGAACAAATAGCAGCATGCAAATTTCAAACGTTTACAACTTATACTACACCACTGTTTTTCCCTTTTAGTATTAATTATATAAATTATTCTGATTGCTTTTATTTGCATTCTTGGATTCATTCTGATGAATGTAAGATGCAAAGCTTCAGAATATGTCAATCATTTGAGCCATAATTGAATTCTGAGGTATCAAGCAACAATTTGCTCTGTTAATCAGGATTTTGTCCTTATCACAGCATTGAAGTGACCTCATAATTGACAGCTTATGTGATGGTCGACTGTTCATATGTCTTCTGGATGATCCCTCATCTTCCTCTCTGCATAAATTTGAATTTATCCAAAATACTCCTGCCTACATCCTAACTCATGTGCAGTCCCACTCAGCTATCACTCTTGTACTCACAGAATAACTTTGACTTCAGATAAAAAGATGCATCGATTTTTAAAATTTTCAGCATCTGGTTCCCTCTATAGTCTCACCGCTGCTTGCTCCTGTAACCTCTTCCTGCCAAGAAGTCTACATTCCTTCACCTCTGGGCTTTTTTGCAACTCCAACTTAGTTCCCTTTGTCCTAAGATTTCCTTCTTTTGTTTGGTGTCAATTGAAGCTTGCTTGCACTCCTGGGAAGTTTATTACAGTAAATACTGTATCTCAATACAAGTTGTCGCTGTGATCATAGTGTATCATCCCTGCTTGACCTCTCTGCATCTTTTGATATGACAAGCTCACATATCACATTTGGTCACATATGACCATATCACATCATTTTCTTTTTCTCTCTGTTGCCAGCTTAATGGAATTACCTTGGTTGGTTCCATTCCTGCCTACCTGGCTATAGCCATCTCCAGCAATGACTTATTTTCCTTCTCTTGCATCATTGTCTCCAGAGATTCGCAGAGATCTGGATTGCATCTTCCTCTTCCTTATTACATCAGCTGCAAATGTGGACATTTTCTGCATTTAGACTGAACTGACTCTACCTCCCTACCACATCCCTCTGTTATTGTAAAGTTTCACTGCTGACACTTTTAAATGAGTTCTGAATATGCTGTTCAATGGCTATAGGAGATTTGATAGCATGTCAATCTAGTTACACTTCCTGTGTTTAAGTAAGTCTTAGAGGAGAGGCATAGTGTAGCAGCAACTAGTCACAAAGTGATTACAACATAGAATGATGTAATCATTGGAGTTACTGCTGGATCTCAGTTGACCATTCCTGTCAGTCCCATTCGTCCACTTTATCACCACAACCCTGCAGGTTGATTTACCTCAACTGTTCCTTTTGAAATTGTTGATTGTCACCAATTCTACAAACCTTGTAGCCAGCAAGTTCTAGATCATTACTGCTCATTGTCTAAAAAATGTTCTTCCTCACATTCCCACATTTCCTTTTCCCAAATCTTTAATACTATGTCTGGGAATGGTTGTCTTTAGCTACCTCATCTAAACAGGAGGCTGCTAAATAAGATAAGAACCCATGGCGTTAGGAGCGAGGTCCTGGCATGATAGAGATTTCACTAACTGGCAGAAGGCAGAGAGTAGGGATAGAAGGGTCTTTTTCAGGATGGCAACCAGTGGAGGCCTGCAGGAGTTCGTGTTGGCACCATAACAATTCATGATACACATGAACGATCTGGACAAAGGAACTGAGGACATTGAGGCTAAGTTTGCAGATGACACAAAGAAAGGTCGAAGGCAGAAAGTGTTGAAAAAGTGGGGAGGCTGTAAGAGGACTTGGACAGGCTAGGAGAGTGGGCAAAGAAGTGGCAGGTGGAGTACAATGTAGGAAAGTGTACGCTATGGTGGAAAGAATAGAGGCATAGATGATTTTCTAAATGGGAAAAGGCTGCAGAAATCTGAAGCACATCAGTATTTAGAGTCCTCGTTCAGGATTCTCTTAAGGTTAACATGCAGGTTTAGTTGGCAGTTAAGAAGGCAAGTGCAATGTTAGCATTCATTTCAAGAGGTTTAGAATACAAGAGCAGAGTTGAATTGTTGAGGCTGTAGTTGGACCACATTTAGCATGTTATGAGCAATTTTGGGCCCTGTATCTAAAGAAAGATGTGTTGGCATTGGAGGAGGTTCACACGAATGATCCTGATTGAAGGACTTGTCATATGAGGAGTGGATAACAACTCAATAGAAGGGAGGAAAGAGGGGATGTGATGGCCTAATGTTAATATCACTGAATGGTTAATCAAGAGACCCAGATAATGTTCTGGGGACTTGGGTTCGAACCCTGACACGGCAGATGGTGGAATTTAAATTCAATAAAAATTCTGGAATTAGGAGTTGGAAAAGCCCATTTGATTCACTGATGTCCTTTAGGGAAGGAAATGGCCATCCTTACTTGTTCTGGCCTATATGTGACTCCAGACCACAGCAATGTGGTTGACTCTAAACTGGGGATGGGCAGTAAATGCTGGTATAGTCAGTGATGCCCTCAGCCTGTGAGTGTACAAAAAACAAACTCTAGTTCTGTACTTGATGGAGGATGAAGGGGTGCATCTCATTGAAACTTACAGAATACTGAGAGACCTGCATAGAGTGGATGTGGAGAAGGTGTTTCCACTCGTAGGAGAGACTAGGACCCGAGGGCACAACCTGTGATGAAGGAACGATACTTTAGAACTGCGATGAGGAGGAATTTCTTCAGCCAGATGGAAGTTAATCTGTGGAACTCATTGCTGTAGATGGCTTTGGAGAACAGGTGATTGAGTGAATTTAAGACAAATCTTGATTAGTAAGGGCATGAAGGGTTACGGGAGAAGGCAGGAGAATGAGGTTGAGAAACATCAACCATGACTGAATGGCAGAGCAGACTCAATGGGCTGAATGGGCTAATTCTGCAGCTGTCTTATGGTCTTACCTTTATCAGCTATCACCTCAGCCTACTTTTCTCCACGGACAATAAACCCAGTTCCTTCTACTTGGTTTTTTGTCAAATTGAAGCAGTACCGATTACTTTGAGCAATAGCTGAACTGGCAAGAAAACATGCACTAAGGTTAATATACAGTATACAGGAGGTCTTAGAGGAAGAAGGAGAAAATTGCAGAGATGGCTATATATCCAATAATTTAAGAGTCTGCTCATGTTTAGGGGACAATCCCAAACAATCCAATAGACTCATCTACTGCTCAATTCACAATATCTTACAAGGAGGACTCAATCTAACATTCATATGCTTTATCTTACCCTCATTCTAGAACTCACAGCTCTCACATTTTGGCAGTTATTCGATCATATCAGCCACGTCATCTGGAAACATTTCATAATACACACTGACATACTTTACACTTTCTTGCAGGAAAGTGGACAGCAATTGTTAAATAAGTAGCAGACAAGCATGACCCATAGGGGTTTTTTACCATCATGGACAGGGAGGGTACCTGAGGCTGGTTCCATACAAGATGTTTGGATGTGTGTCTTGCAGATCGTTGACAAGCTTTGGGGAGGCAGGAGGTGAGTTTCTTGCTGAAGAATTCTTAGTCTCTCCTGCTCTTGTAACCACAGTATTTATATGGCTGCTGCAGTTCAGTTTCTGGTCAATGGTAACATCCAAAATGTTTATAGTGGGTTATTCAATGATGATGATGTCATTGAATGTCAAGAGGCAACGTCTAAATTCTGTCTTGTTGGACATGGTAATACCTCGGCAATTGCGTGCTGCAGATTTAGTTGCCACTTTTAAGATCAAGCCTGGACGATGTTCAGGTCTTGCTGCATTTAAACATGAACTTCATCAGTACCTGTGGAATCATGAATAGTGCTGAACACTGTGTAGTCATTGGTGAACATCCCCACTTCCGACCTAAAGATGCAATGAGGGTCAATGACGAAGCAACCAAAGATGGTTGGGCCTGAGATACTACATTGTTGATGAGTTTTGGTTTTTGAGGTCCTTCAAAAAATTTGTTCCTGTTTTGACACCTTCCTTTAATTATCCACAGTAATGTAAGTTTGATTCAAACTTATTTTTATTCTGACAGAATTAATGTACTCCATACATTCATCTGTGTTTGTACCTAGTGCTGTCAATAATATGCCAATGGAGAGCGAAGTGCTGTTTGCAGTTGATCTTTCAGAAATAATTTTTTAATCATTCAGAACTGAGACTTGGAGGAAATAATTGGCCCTGTTTTACTTCACAGTTAAGAATAATTGAGAAGACATTATGTGCTGACATTATATATTGAAGTATCAAACTGGACATTTGTGTGACAGGACAGTGTAACGTAGTTTTCATGTGTCATAAGAACCTTTCAGAGATTGACAAAAGCTTTGTATCTGACTGTATATGAGAAATATTGATATGTGGAAAATTTTGTTTGAGAGATGACAGCTATATCTGCTGTAAATAATGTATTATGAATGACTATAGCTCTGAGTTGTTCAGACAAATATATTCACATATGAAATTTTATTAGGTGTTGGAATTCAAGTAAATGATGAATATGATTTGAAATAATGGCTGAAGCTTTCAGTTCTGATCTCAGTTGCTCCACAGAGAAAAACTCATGCAGAAGCTAAGAGAAGAAGCTATGCAGTTGACAGACCAAATATCACAGCATTCCCAGGATATCAGCAAGCTCAGCACTGAGAAGCAGGAAATAGAACTGGAAATGGCAGTAACTGCTGAGAAGCATAGAACTGCTCAACAAGAGGTATATTAAAGATGTCAATACAAGTATAAATTGTTGCGATCACTCTTTTCATATTGTTGTTAATATTTGGATGGTAATTTTCTGACTTTAAAATTAATAAGTTAAAATTGCCTTACTGTTATTAAAATGTAGAGGATTTTAAGGCACTGATTATCAGACAAAGTTGAGATGATTATTATTTGTTATAAATTGTAATGCTAACAGTATGGTCATTGTGCAATGAGATAGGATTAGTTAGCAATCTTGTTGTGAATACTACGTCTCCAGTAGCAACAACCATAATTTGATTGAATTTTGCCTTCAATTTGAGGGAGAGATGAGTCGGTCCAAGACCAGTATTAAGTACAAAATAAGGACAATTATGATACCTTGAAAGCAGAGATAGCTAAAGTGAACTGGTAAATTGGTAAAGGGATAGGTGAATATAGAGAGGCAATGGCAGATATACGTGGGGATATTTCAGAATTAGCAGAATACATTCCAATGAAAAAGAAAAAAATCCTAAAGGGAGCACACAACATTCCTTGTTAACTAAAAAAGTTGAAGGTTGTATAAACTTTAAAGAAAAAGCACAGAATTATGCAAACAAAGACAGAATGCTGCAGAAACGTAGCATCTGTGGAGAGAGAAAAAGAGTTATTGTTTTGAGTTCGGTATGACTTTACTTCAGAACTCTTCTTATCCCTGTTTCTGTCTCCAGAGATGCTGCCAGACCTGCTAAATGTTTCCAGTATTCTGTGTTTGTTTCAGATTTCCAGCATCCGCAGTATTTTTTAAAAATTTATAATTATGCAAAGACAAGCGGCTGGTTGTAAGTTTGGACAAAATGTAAAAACAAAGAAAAGAATGACTAAAATATTAAGGAGGGAACAATTAGATCACAAGATAAAGCCAACTGGAAATGTTAAAACAGTTACTAAGAGAGTTTTCTTTTCACATCATATTTACTTCTTCTGCACTTTAAGTCTGTGCCCTTTCGATCTTGATCCTTTTATGAGTGGCAACAGTTTCTCCCTGACTCCTCTGTTCATACCTATGATGATTTGGAAAAATTGAATCTTATTTTCTCCTAGTCTTCTCCTTTCCCAATGAAACAATTCCAACTACTCCAATCTGTTTTCAGAACTGAAGTTTCTCATCCCTGGAATTATTCTATTAAACATCTTCTTCACTCTCTGAAACGTGTTCATATCTCTCCTAAAGTGTGCGCCTTGAACTGTACACAAAACTCCAACGGAAGTTCAACAACTAATAAAAGCATAGAGTAATGGAGAAACGTGTCAGGTCTGGCAGCATCTGAGGAAAGACAAACTGAGTTAACATTAAGAGTCCAGTATGACTTGACTTCAGCACTGAAAGGGACCAGGAAATGATAGTTTTTTAATGCTATTGACAGAGGGAGAGGAAGAGCACATGGGACAAATTGTGATGCTGCCAGCCCTGGTGAGTTTCTCCAGCACTTTCTGTTTTTATTTCAGATTTCTAACTTCTGCAGTATTTTACCTTTATTTGAGGTCCAACTAATGTCTTATGCAGGCTTAGCATCGCCTCCTTGCTGTTGCACTCTATGCCACTATTAATAAAGCCTAGGATAATGTACACTTTATGAAATGGTATTTCCACCTGTCCTGCCACATTTTAATGACTAATGCACATATATACCAAAGTCCATCTGCTTCTGTACATGCTTTGGAGTAGTACCCTTTAGTTTATATTGCCTCCATGTATTTTCTACCACAAGCATCACCTCAGCCTTCTCCGCATTGAACTGTCATCTATCCATCCACTCGACCGACTTGTCGTTTTGAATTTTTACACTGCTCTCTTAAAAGAAAACAATTCTTTTGTATCATCCACAAACCTTGCAACTGCCCCTGCACCCCAAAATCCAGATCATTAATAAGAAGTTTGGAAAAGACAGGGTTCCAGTACTGCTTCATGGGATCTCCATTCCAAACCTTTCTCCGATCTCAACAATATCCATTAACCGTTATTGTTTGTTTCCTATCATTCAGTCAATTTTGTATCTAAGTTGCCTTTGTCCCCTTTATTCTCACAAGTCTTTTGTATGACATGTATTGAGCATCTTTTAGAAATCCACCTATGCTACATTAATAGCATTAGACCCATCAACCCTCTCTGTTAACTCTTTAAAGAACTCCAGCAAGTTGGTTAAACATGATTTTCTCTTAGGAAATCCATGCTGATCTCACTAATTAACTGCATTTTTCCACATTACTTCTAATTGTATCCTGATTTATTGTTTCTTGAATTGTCCCCAACCCCAAATTTAAATTGACTGATTTGTAAATTTCTGGGCTTACCCTTGTTCCAAAAAGTTGAAAAGATGTAATGATTTTAATTCTTCAGTTCTCCAGCACCACCCATAACTCCACGAAAGACTGAAAGATCATACCTAATGCCCATGTAATTTCAGTTTCCTTGGCTGGTCCAAGTGCCTTGACAGTTCTAAGTACCAGCAGATTATCCGATGCCACCTAATCAATGTTGAACTCTTCTAGTGACTGACTTCTGCCATTTCACTGTGGCATCAGTAGAGGAAGGGAAGAAACTGAGGTGGGGAAGTGGCATTACAGGTTAAGGATAATATTACGGCTGTGCTTAGAGAGGATATTCCTGGGAAAACATCCAGTGAAGTTATGTGGATGGAACTGAGAAATAAGGGATGATTACCTTTACGGCTAGTATATTCTAGGCCCTCTAACAGTCAATGGGAAATTGAGAAGCAAATATATAAGGAGATCTCAGATATCTGGAAGAACAATAGGATTGTAATGGTAGGGGATTTTAACTTTGCTGACATAGACTGGGACTGTCATAGTGTTAAGGGCTTGGATGAGGAGGAATTTGTTAAGTGTGTACATGAAAATTGTCTGATTCGGTATGTGGATGGACCTACTAGAAAAGGAGCAAAACTTGACTTTTTTGGGGAAATAAGGCAGAGTATGTGACTGAAGTGTCAGTAGGGGAGCACTTTGGGGCCAGTGATTATAATTCTATTAATTTTAAAATAGTTATGGAAAAGGATAGACCTGATCTAAAAATTAAAATTCTGAATGGGAGTGAGGCGAGTTTTGATGGTATTAGGCAGGAATTTTCAAAAGTTGATTGGGAGAAGCTATTCACAGGTAAAGGAATGGTTGGAAAGTGGAAGGCCTTCAAGAATGAGATAACAAGATTTCAGAGACAGTATGTTGCTGTCAGCACGAAAGGCAAGGTGGGCAGGTGTAGGGAATGCTGGATGACTAGAGAAATTGTGGCTCTAGTCAAGAAAAAGAAGGAGGCATATGGCAAGAATAGACAGCTGGGATCGACTGAATCCTTAGAGGGGTATAACGGCAATATGAACATACTTAAGAGGGAAATCAGGAGGGATAAAGGGGGACTGAGATAACTTTGGCAAATAGGGTTGAGAAGAATCCAAACAGATTCCACAAATACATTTAACTGGTGAGCGAATACGGCCCCTTAAAGATCAACAAGGTTGTCTATGTTTGGAACCATAGGACATGGGTGAGATACTAAATGAGTATTTCATATCAATATTTTCTGTGGAGAAGAACAAGAAGCTCGAGAACTTGTGGAAATAAATAGTGATATCTTGAAAAGTGTCCATATTACAGAAGAGGAGATACTGGACATCTTAGGGTAGGCAATGGCCTAGTGGTATTATCACTGGACTGTTAATCCAGAGACCCGGATAACATTCTGGGGACCCGGGTTCAAATCCTGCCTTGGCAAATGGTGGAATTTGAGTTCAACAAAATATATGGAATTAAGAATCTAATGATGACCATGAATCCATTGTCAATTGTTGGCAAAACCCATCTGGTTCACTAATGTCCTTTAGGAAAGGAAACTGCCATCCATACCTGGTCTGGCCTACATGAGACTCCAGACCCACAGCAATGTGGTTGACTCTGAACTGCCGTCTGGGCAATTAGGGATGGACAATAAATGCTGCCTGGTCGGTGACGCCCTCATCCCATTAAGAATAAAGGAAAAACGCAAAAACGTGGATATATGCCTGACACCTGATTAGGTGTATCCAAAAACTTTGTGGGAAGCAAGGGAAGAGATTGTTGAGCCCCTTGCTGGGATATTTACATCATCAGTAGCCACAGATGAGGTTGCCTGATTTGGGGCCATTATTTGAAGAAAGTGGTAAGGAAAAGCCAAGAACTGTAGACCGGTGAGTCTGACGTCAATGGTAGTTTAGTTGTTGAAGAGGATTCTGAGAGACAGGATTTACATGCATTTGGAAAGGCAAGGACTGATTAGGAATCATCACCATGGTTTTGTGTGTGGGAAATTGTGTCTCACTAACTTGATTGAGTTTTTTGAAGAAGTGACAAAACATTGATGAAGGCAGAGCAGTAGACGTTGTCTATATGGATTCAGCAAAGTGTTCAACGTGTTTCCTCATGGTAGACTGGTTAGCAAGGTTAGATCACATGGAACCCAGGGGTAGCTAGACACTTGGATACAAAATTGGCTTGAAGGAAGGAGACAGAGGATGGTGGTGGAGGATTGTTTTTCAGACTGGACACCTGTGACCAGTGGTGTGCCACAAGGATTGGCCCTGGGTCCACTGCTTTTTGCCTTTTGTATAAATGATTTGGATGTGAATATCGGAGGTAAAGTTAGTAAGCTTGCAGATGACACCAAAATTAATGGTGTAGTGTACGGTGAAGAAGGTTACCTCAGAGTACAATGGGACCTTGATCAGATGGGCCAATGAGCCAAGGAATGCCAGATGGAGTTTAATTTAGATAAATGTGAGGTATTGCATTTAGCGAAGGCAAACCAGGGCAGGACTAATACAGTTAACGGTAGGGTCCTGGGAGGTATTGCCAAACAAAAGGACCTAGAGGTGAATGTTGATAGGTCCTTGAAAGTGGAGTCACAGCTAGACAAGGTGGCAAAGAAGGCTTTGGTACGCTTGCCTTCATTGGTCAGTGCATTGTGTATAGAAGTTAAGACATCATATTGTGGCTGAACAGGAATTGGTGAGGCCACTTTCAGAATACTGTGTTCAATTCTGGTCTCCCTGCTATAGGGAAGATGGTGTTAAACTTGAGAAGGTTCAGAAAAGATGTACAAGGATGTTGCCACGATTGGAGGGTTTGAGCTATAGGGAGAAGCTGAATAGACTGGTGTTTTTTCTTCCTGGAGCATCGGAGCCTGAGGGGTGACTTTAAGGAGGTCTATAAAATCATGAGGGTCGTGGATAGGGTGAATAGCCAAGGTCTTTTCCCAGGGTCGGGGAGTCCAAAACTAGATATCATTGACTTAAGGTGAGGGGAAAAGATTTAAAAGAGGGGCAATATTTTCATGAAGAAGAGTGTTGCGTGTATGGAACGAGCTGCCAGTGGAAGTGGTGGAGGCGGGTACAGTTGCGACATTTGAAAGGCATCTGGACGGGGATATGAATAGGAAGGGTTTGGAGGGATATGGGCAAATGCTGGCAAATACATTTAGGTCAGTTTAGGACATCTGGACGGCATGGACGAGTTGGACGGAAGGGATTATTTCCACAATGTAAAACTCTATGATTCCATCAATCTAATCTGCTTCCTTGGTAATAAACATTGCAAATGATTTATTTGATTCCTCAGCCATGAAGAAGCTTGACTTCTGTGTGTAAATCTCCTTTTTAGTCTCTAACTGGGCCTATTTCCTGCTTTTACCAGCCTTTTACTGTTTTTATGCTGATAGAACTGTTAGGGATTTCCCTTTATGTTATCTGCTAATATTTTTTTCATAATCCCTGTTTCTCTTATGTGTTGTTTCACCTCTGCTTCAAAGACATTGCAATTAGCCTGGTTCTCACTTGTATTTTCTGTCTGACACTTGTCATTAGCGCACTTTTTCTTCTTTATTTAATTTACGTTTCCCTTTTTATCCAGGGAGGTGCAGATGTTTTGCCCTATCTTTCCCTTTTGAGGGTATAAACTTTAATTTTATCTGAACCATCTTTTCTTTGAAGGTAACCCCTTGTTCAGCTAGTGTTTTTCCCACCTATCTTTGGCTCCAGTCTATTTGACCCAATTCAATTCCAGTATATTGAAGTCAGCTCTACTCCTGTTAATTATTCTCACTCCGACTTGTCCACTGTCGTTTCCATTGTCAACTTAAACTTTATACTATGTGGTTACTGTAATAATTTTTAATCTTGTTAGGATCCTTTCCAACCTTTTTTCTGAACATTGCTGCTGAATCTAGGTGCTTAAAGATGACACACTTTATGGATTTATACTTGTATTTACCTTTCAAAACACAGAAGAACAGAAAGCAGCATGTATTTTTCGTTTTATGTAACTGAGTCTCAATTGAATTCTGGTGCTCAAAAATACATTGACTGATGCATTAATCCAAGTTTGAATAGATTGGATATAATTATTCAGTTTACAGTATTATTCATATTTGCATTGTTTTGACACTCAGGTCATTAACAGAGATCAAATTATTCTAAAATTGAAGACAGACTTGAAAACTGCACAGGAGAAATATACAGGTTCACAGGATGAAGTATGTATCATCTTGTTTTCTTTCAGGCATTAACTTAAGACTTCAATAAAATATTAGCCTTAACTTTAATGCTAAGTTAATAATTATGGTGAAATGAAGACCACACCTGGAATATTGTGACAACACAGTATGGAGCTGGAAGAACACAGCAGGCCAGGCAGCATCAGAGAAGCAGAAAAGTTGACGTTTCAGGTCGGGACCCTTCAGAAATGGGGAGGGGGAAGGGAGCTGGGAAATAAATAGAGAGAGGAGAGGTGGGGCTGGGGAAGGTAGGTGAAGTGGTGATAGGTGAGTGCAGGTAGGGAGAGGTGGGGCTGGGGAAGGTAGGTGAAGTGGTGATAGGTGAGTGCAGGTAGGGAGTGGTGGGGATTTGTCAGTGGGCTGGGTGAGGCGGATAGGTTGGAGAGAAGATGGATAGGTTGTGTCAGGTTAAGGAGGCGGGAATGAGAGGGAGGGTCGGACATGGGATGGGGCCTGGGGTGGGGCGATTTTAAAACTGGTGAATTCCATGTTGAGGCCATCGGGCTGTAGGCTCCCGAGGTGGAATATGAGGTGCTGCTCCTCCAGTTTGCAGGTGACGTCATTGTGACACTGGAGGAGACCGAGGATGGAAATATCACCCAGGAAGTGGGAGGGGGAGTTAAAATGGTTGGTGACCGGAGTGTGTTCTCGTTTGTCGTGAACAGAGTGCAGATGCTGTACAAAACGGTCTCTGATTCTACGCTTGGTCTCACTGACGTAGAGGACGCCACATCGGGAGCAGCGGATGCATATAGACCAAGTTGACAGATGTGCAGGTGAACCCCTGTCTGATATGAAAGGCTTGTTTAAGGCCTTGAATGGAGGTGAGGGGAGAGGTGTAGGGGCAGGTGAGGACTTTCTACGGTTGCAGGGAAAGGTGCTGGGGGTAGTAGGGTTAATGGGGAGTATGGAGTGTGGAGCAGACAAGGGAGTCACGGAGACAGCGGTCTCTATGAAACTTAGATAGGGGTTGGGAGGGAAATATCTCTTTGGTTATGGGGTCGGATTGTAGGGAGAATGATACATTGGATGTGGAGGTTGGTGGAGTGATATGTGAAGACAAGGGGTTTCTGTCTTTATTTTTGTTTGGGGAGACTGTGTAAGAGCAGAAGTGCGGGAAATGCAAATGATGCGTTTGAATGCATTTTCAATCAGCGGAGGGGGGATGTCCTTGAAATAGGAGGATATCTCGGATGTTCGGGAGTGGAAGGCCCCATCTTGGGAGCAGATGCGGCGGAGGCGGAGGAATTGGGAGTTTGGGATCACATTCTTGCAGGAAGGTGGATGAGAAGAGGTGTAGCCAAGGTAGCTGTGGGAGTCGGTGGGCTTGAAATAGATATCAATTTCAAGGTAGTCACCAGAGATGAAGACAGAAAGGCAGTTATCGAAGATGGTCCATGTGATTTTGAGGTTAGGGTGAAAGAGGTTGGTAAAGTTGATGAACTGTTCAAGCTCCTCGTGGGAGCATGAGGCAGTGCCAATACAGTCATCGATGTAGCGGAGGAAGAGGTGAGAAATAGTGCCAGTGTAACAGCGGAAAAAGGACCTTTCCACATATCCTACGAAGAGGTAGGCATAGCTTGGGCCCATGTGGGTGCCCATGGCTACCCCCGTAGTCTGTAGAAAGTGGGAGGACTTAAAGGAGTTAAAGTTGTTAAGGGTAAGGATGAGTTCTGTTAAGTAGATGCGGGTGTCGGTGGAGGGGAACTGGTTGGCTTTTAGGCCATCTGCTTGGGGGATACATGTATATAGGGATTGGATGTCTTGGAATACTGTGTGCAGTTTGGCTCTCCTTATCTGAAGAAGGATGTTCTTGCTATAAAGGTAGTGTAGCGAAGGTTTACCAGACTGATTCCTGGGATGGCGGGACGAACATATGAGGAGAGGTTGTAATCGTTAAGATTATAATCGAGGAGTTCAGAAGAATGATGAGGGCTCTCATAGAAACCTGTTCAGAGGGTGGGTGTTAACTCACTGGCCTGCTTCTGCACTGTAGGGATTCTATAATTCAACAATATCCCCTTTGTATCTCTGGCTCTTTGTATCTCAAAATAGTACTTGTTTGGTATGAGTTACTGTATACAGGTGAGAAAGCTGGCTTGATTTGAAAACGTTTTATTTTGTGTCTTAGACCCGTGACAACCCCACAATAAGGAGTGTCTCTGAGCTGAGGTGCTTCTGAAATATCCAGGACCACTGTTGGTCAAAGGAGACATTTTAAGACATAACAGTTTTGTAAAGTACAGTATTTGTAACACAGTTTACATCTTAGTGGACAGAATTTGATTCTAAACTAGTTCACACTTGGACACTTTGCATATATGCTTCTTGAAGAAAATGTGTTAGATTAAGTTGAGAGTGCATTGAGTATAGGAGTTGGAATGTCATGTTGCAGCTGTACAGGACATTGGTTAGGCCAATATGGAATACTGCATTCAATTCTGGCCTCCGTGCTATAGGAAAGATGTTGTTAAACTTGAAAGGGTTCAGAAAATATTTACAAGGATGTTGCCGGGATTGGAGGGTTTGAGCTATAGGGAGACGCTGATTAGGCTGGGGCTATTGTCCCTGGAGTGTCAGAGACTGAGGGATGACCTAACAGATTTAATCATGAGGGGCATGGATAGGGTGAATAGTCAAAGTCTTTTCCAGGATAGGGGAGTCCAAAACTAGAGGGCATAAGTTTAAGGTGAGAGGGGAAAGATTTAATAGGGGCCTAACAGGCAACTTTTTCACGCAGAGGGTGGTGCATGTATGGAATGAGCTGCCAGGGGAAGTGGTGGAGGCGGGCACAGTTACAACATTTAAAAGCCATCTCGATAGGTACATGAATCGGGAGGTTTAGAGGGATATGGGCCAAATGACAGCAAATGGGACTAGATTAATTTCAGATATCTGGTCGGCATGAACGAGTTGGACTGAAGCATTTGTTTCTGTGCTGTGTAATTCTATGACTAAGTCAATTCCTAGTAAGTATTGTAGAATCAAACATATTTTTAGGGTTGAGTGTAATCACTGATGATGGTTTCAAAGAAAATAAATAAAAAACAACTGTGTCATTATAAAATAAACCCTCTTCCCTATATAAATTCTGGTCTTCAAGTAATCATTTTATTTGATAAGACAAGTTTAAAGTCTAAAGATTTCAAAATAGGAATGGGAATATTCCTAGTATCAGAAAAGATAAATCTATGTCGTGATTTAAAAATATAAAGACAAAAAGGAAATTTTTTTTTGATTTGATTTACACTGCATATTTTAGAAATTTGCATCCTGATCTGTTATCCACATCAAACTATGCCTTTGGATCTTTGCTTCAATGCTATAACACTGAGGCCCCAAGCAATAACAAATACACAGAAATGCATGGTTAGACAAAAGCACAGTGGATTAGAAAGGATGTGCTTGATGAGAACTTTGTATGTGGAACCTGAGAAGCAGCAGTACAACATACTGAGACAACAAGGTGCAGGGCTGGATGAACACAGCAGGCCAAGCAGCATCATAGGAGTAGAGAGGCTGACGTTTCGGGCCTAGACCAATACAACAGAGCCATGAATTGGTTGCCCATTACAGAAATGGATTGATTTTCACTTTCCATTGAAAACCTATCCCTGAATGTCTTTCAAACAAAGTACCTATTTTACAAATATCTAGGCAGGATAAGTTGGAAGCTATAGAGACAACAAGGTGCAGGGCTGGATGAACACAGCAGGCCAAGCAGCATCATAGGAACAGAGAGGCTGACGTTTCAGGCCTAGACCCTTCATCAGAAAAGGGGGAGGGGAACGGGGTTCCTAAATAAATAGGGAGAGAGTGGGAGGCGGATAGAAGAGGGATAGAGGAGAGGATAGGTGGAGAGGAAACAAACAGGTCGAAGAGGCGGGGATGGGGCCAGGAAGGTGAGTGTAGGTAGGGAGTTAGGAAGGGGATAGGTCAGTCCAGGGAGGACGGACAGGTCAAGGGGGCGGGATGAGGTTGGTCGGTAGGAGATGGAGGTGCGGCTTGAGGTGGGAGGAGGGGATAGGTGGGAGGAAGAACAGGTTAGGGAGGCAGGGACGAGCTGGACTGGTTTTGGGATGCGGTAGGGGGAGGGGAGATTTTGAAACTTGTGAAATCCACATTGATACCATTGGGCTGCAGGGTTCCCAAGCGGAATATGAGTTGCTGTTCCTGCAACCTTCGGGTGGCATCGTTGTGGCACTGCAGGAGGCCCAGGATGGACATGTTGTCTGAGGAATGGGAGGGGGAGTTGAAATGGTTCGCGACTGGGAGGTGCAGTTGTTTATTGCGAACCGAGCGTAGGTGTTCTGCAAAGCAGTCCCCGAGCCTCCGCTTGGTTTCCCCGATGTAGAGGAAGCCACACCGGGTACAGCGGATGCAGTATACTACATTGGCAGATGTGCAGGTGAACATCTGCTTGATGTGGAAAGTCTTCTTGGGGCCTGGGATGGGGGTGAGGGAGGAGGTATGGGGGCAGGTGTAGCACTTCCTGCGGTTGCAGGGAAAAGTGCCGGGTGTGGTGGAGCTGGAGGGGAGTGTGGAGCGGACAAGGGAGTCACGGAGAGAGTTGTCCCTCCGGAAAGCAATTAAGGGTGGGGAGGGAAAGATGTCTTTGGTGGTGGGGTCGGATTGCAGATGGCGGAAGTGTCGGAGGATGATGCGTTGGATCCGGAGGTTGGTGGGGTGGTACGTGAGGACGAGGGGGATTCTTTTTTGGTTCTTATTGCGTGGACGGGATGTGAGGGATGAGGTGCGGGAGATGTGGGAGACACGGTTGAGGGTGTTCTCGACCACCGAGGGGGGGAAGTTGGAAGCAATTGTGTTTTAATTCCCAGTGAAGCTTGAATATAAAAAAAAAGGGCAGTCACAACCCATGAATTAAATTGCTACAGAGATAGTAGGAATTGCCGATGCTGGAGAAGCTGAGATAACAAGGTGTAGAGCTGGATGAACACAGCAGGCAAGGCAGCATCAGAGGAGCAGGAAAGCTGACGTTTCGGGTCTAGACCCTTCTTCAGAAATGGGGGAGGGGAAGGGGATTCTGAAATAAATAGGGAGAAAGGGGGAGGCGGATAGAAGATGGATAATGGAGAAGATAGGTGGAGAGGAGACAGACAGGTCAAGGAGGCGGGGTTGGAGCCAGTAATGGTGAGTTAGGGAGGCGATAGGTCGGTCCAGGGAGGACGGACAGGCCAAGGAGGCGGGATGAGGCTAGTCGGGAGGAGATGGGGGTGGGGCTTGAGGTGGGAGGAGTGGATAGGTAGGAGGACCAGTTAGGGAGGCGGGTACGAGCTGAGCTGGATTTAGGATGCGGTCTGGGGAGGGGAGATTTTGAAGCTTGTGAAGTCCATCTCTCCACCTATCTTCTCCTTTATCCATCTTCTATCCGCCTCCCCCTTTCTCCCTATTTATTTCAGAATCCCCTTCCCTTCCCCCATTTCTGAAGAAGGGTCTAGACCCGAACAGTATATTGTATCCATGTGGACTTCACAAGCTTTAAAATCTCCCCTCCCCCAACCACATCCCAAATCCAGCCCAGCTTGTACCCGCCTCCCTAACTTGTCCTCCCACCTATCCACTCCTCCCACCTCAAGCCCCACCCCCATCTCCTCCCTACTAGCCTCTTCCCGCTTCCTTGACCTGTCCATCCTCCCTGGACCAACCTATCCCCTCCCTAACTCATCTTCACTGGCTCCAACCCCGCCTCCTTGACCTGTCTGTCTCCTCTCCACCTATCTTCTCCTTTATCCATTTTCTATCCGCCGCCCCCTTTTCTCCCTATTTATTTCAGAAGCCCCGTCCCCTCCCCCATTTCTGAAGAAGGGTCAAGACCCGAAACGTCAGCTTTCCTGCTCCTCTGAAGCTGCTTGGTCTGCTGTGTTCATCCAGCCCTACGCCTTAATATCCCATGAATGAAGTTGTTTTGCTTTCTCATTTCAGTAGCTAGAAATATATTGTACTTGTATATTGATATTGGCTCGTCTTCGATTGGAAGTCTGAGAAAAAAGAATTTCCAACTGTTATGGGAGTTTAGTAACTGAAAATGGCTCAGATCAATTACAGAGATCTCGTGAGATAGAGCCTAGACTGGACTGTGAAAACGGTTGACTCATTAATGGGGCGTGGAGAAGCAGACATGTTCTGGGATTGAAAATCGTCCCATTCAAATTCAAATGACTGCAGCTTGTGACCTAACAGTAGAGACTCCCTGTTAAGTAACCAGCAGTAATTTATCATGACCTGGACTGCAATGTGTGAAAATTTAAATTTAGTAAATGCTATCAATACATCTATGCATACTTATTGAGATGTTAATCTTCTATTTTGTCAATCCGCACTTCAATTCTTTTACTTTAGATAACAATGTTCAGTTCCTTGGAATGAGGCCAGCTCTCTTGCAACATGTTTCTTTAGATGCTTCATGTAATTCAAATGCATACGCTATACTTTTGAGTCTTGTAAATTGTCTATTTTAGAGAGTTAAGTATACCAATAGGTATTATCTTTGCTAGGCATTAAGCTGATTTAAAAGAGAATGGTGTTTTACAATCCAAATCATACACAACTTATTTTTAATGAACAGCTTGGTGTTCAGCAAGCTGAAATCAACCGACTAAATGAAAAATTGAAAGATCTGCAGAATGAAATTTGTAAACAAAAGGTTATTGGCAATGAACAAGAAAATCACCTGAGCCAAGCTGAAAAGTCTATTCAAGAATTTGCACATGAACGGGAACTGCTCATGCAAGAGGTTGGTAGAAGGCCAAGTTTGTTACTAATTGTAGTGGGTTTTGAACAGTTATTCAAGATTGAAGCCATTTGAATGAAACATAACTTTAGGAAATGACTGTTGAAAAGGTTCTGTCTTTCTATTATTTCCATTAAGGGGAGGAAATGGCCTCGTGGTAGTATTTTTAGACCATTCATCCAGAGACCCAGGTCATGTTCTGGGGGCCCAGCTTTGAATCTCTTCACAGCAGATGATGAGATTTGAATTCAATAACAATCTGGAATTAAGAGTCTAATGATGAACATGAAACCATTATCAATTGTTGGGGGCATACACAGTTAGTTAACTAATGCCATTTGAGGAAGGAAACTGCCATCCTACATCTAGCCTAAATGTGACTCCAGACTCTTAGCAATGTAGTTGAGTCTGAACTGCCCTGTGGGCAATTAAAGATGGACAATAAATGTTAGCCAGGCCAATGATGCCCACATTCTATGAATTGATTTTTTAAAACAAAATATACTTTATACATAATATTTTTTTCCAGTAGGCCATGATTGGTTGCCGGTTTCAGGTTCCACCGAGAACTGTTCACCCCACAGTAGCTCCCCTAGATGATCATTTGCCGGTTCTGAAATTTGACAACTGATACAGGGACATGAGACTGGATTTCTGCAGACTGGGGTTGTGGGGGTGTGGATGGAGAGAGAGTGGTGGTGGTAGGAAAGTATCTGTAAAACCTGTTGAATGACTTCACAATGCTGTCCTGCCCCTGATGATTTTCCCAGGGATGGGCAGCCATGGCAATTAAAGCTACTCCATGGAACAAAATAGAGAATATGCATAATTAATGTCTAACTCAAGGGTTACTTTCCTTTGATATTGCAACTGTCCTGGCATTACATGGGTGTCTCACAGAGCCAGGTACCTATTAACACTGTGGATATGACCTCTTACTAAAAGGTCAGCAGGCCATGGGGTCTGAATTAGTTAGAATACAATGCTTATAGAAATTCAAGGTGGTTGCATGAAGGGTCATCCTCCACCTTGAGGTCTCTCACAGAACAGTGTCAACTTCCTCCCACTGAAGAGGAATGATTTTGTGAGCAGCTACATCTTGACTTTACCTAGTGGGGCTGTGGTAGGGATTCTTGGCATGCATTTGGGGAATTGATATCAGTCTTCACAACCACGTCACTAAAAAGAGATTGGAAATTAATTTGAGTGAAAGACATTATAGTTTGTAGAATTTCATGCTGAAGAGGAGTTTCTTTTTGATGAAATACAGTTCTTTTTAAATTATAGATACAAGCCAATAAAAATAATGTAGCGCAATTGCAGAATGATTTGGATATTGCAAAGCAATCTTGCAATATTGATTTGGAACGATGGTCACAGAAGAATGTTTTGTTGCAAAAGGAGTTGGATTCAACCATTCTTGAATTGCAGGATAGTCTTAGCAAAGTACAAGAATACAAGACAATTGCAATGCAACTCAAAGGAGACTTGGAAAAAGCAAAGCATCTTCATTGTGAGGCCGCATGCCTAGTAAGTTTTAAGAAAACCCAGAATATATTCCATTAAGTATCAGCCAAGAATTTTTCACTAATTTTTTTCACTACAATGACTAGACTCAACCTAAATAAAACATTCATTTCAATATATTGTCTTACTATTGTCTTTAAGTTGATTAAAATCAATTTTTAAAAAAATTCACTGATGATAGAATTGTTAGAATGAGAATTAGATTTTATTGTCATGTGTACTGAAGCACAGGGATACAGGGGTACAGTGAAAAGTGTACAAAGTTGCCATTCACTGCACCATCTTAGTTACAAAGTAGAAAAATATGGAAATAAAGTAAACGGTTCAACATTAATGTCCTTCTTAGTATAAAGTAGAAAAATAAAGAAATAAAGTTAAAAGGATGTTACAGGATGCCATTTGGTCCATCATGTCTGAAATGGCTCTCCAAATGTGCACCTTACCTCGTGATATTCTCCTGGTTTCTCCCATAATCCTGCAAATTCTTCCTTTTCAAACAACCATATGATTCCCTTTAGAATACCTCAACTGACTCTGCCTTCACTTCACTTTCAGGAAGTGCATCGGAATCCACAACAACCTGCTGCGTGAAAGAGCTTCTCGTCATATCACTTTTTTCTTCTTTTACTAATTACTTTACATCGGTCCTTCTCCATTCTGAATCCTTTCACAAGTGGGAACATTTTCTCCCTATTTACTCTGATCAGATCTCTTATGATTTTGAATCTTTCAGTTAGATTTTCTTGCAGGCTCCTCTGCCCCAAAGAGACACAAACACATAACCTATCTTGCTAAATAAAAACTGAAAGAACTGCGGATGCTGTAAATCAGGAACAAAAACAAAGTTGCTGGAAAAGCTCAGCAGGTCTGGCAGCATCTGTGAAGGGAAAACAGAGTTAATGTTTCGGGTCCAGTTCTGAGGAAGAGTCACTGGACCTGAAACATTAACTTTGTTTTTTACCTTCACAGATGCAGCTAGACCTGCTGAGCTTTTCCAGCAACTTTGTTTTTGTAACCTGTCCTGCTATCTTTCATGACATAGTTCCAGATTTATATTGAATTTATAACATACGCACATATATAGTACTGCTCCTGCACCCACTTTAGAGTTGCACCCTGTATTTTATGCTGTCTCTCCATGTTTAATTCTACAAATGTACCATCTGGCACTTCTCTGCGTTGAACCTCATCTGCTGGCTATCTACCCAACTTGTCTAAGCCCTTTTAAAGTTCTACGCTAACCTCCTCATAATTTACAATGCTTCTACTTTTCATATCACCTGCAAATTTTGAAATCATTCTGTGTACCCAAAAGTCTAAATCATTTTATCATATACTGGGAAAAATAAGGGTACCAACTATGACCCCTGGAGAACTCAATTACAAACCTTTCTCCAATCTGTTTTCTGTCTTTCAGCCAATTTTATATCAAGATTGCTAAATGGGACCAGACTTAGTTAGGATATTTGGTCGGCATGGACAAGTTGGACCGAAGGGTCTGTTTCCATGCTGTACATCTCTATGACTCTATAATCCTCTTTATTCCATGAACATTAACTTTGGTCACGAGTCTGTTGTGTGGCACTGTGAAAAATGCCTTCTAGAAATCTTTGTATACCACACCAACAGCATTGTTCTGACCAACATTTACTCTTACCCTTCATCAGAAAACTCTAATAAGTTGTTAAACATGACTTTTCCTTTATAAAATCTATGCTGGCATTCATTAATTTACCTACATTTGCCCATGAGACAATGAATTTTGTTGCAAATTATTGTGTCTAAATATTTGCCAACCACCAAACTTAAACTGACTGGTCATAGTTGCTTGGCTTATCCTTATACTCTTTCTTGAACAAGAGAAGAATATCTCCAATTCTCATTATTTAAACATTTGATTTTCCAGAGGTGTTGAGTTAGAAGATTTTAACGGTTAGCATCAGTTCACACAATCAGGGAAAAAAAAGATACCTGCAGTATAATTTTGGTGAAATTAGATTTACTTATTTGTCACATGTACTAAGTATAGAAATACATATGTACAGAGAAAAGTGCACAAAGTTGCCATTCACTGCCACCCACTTAATTACAAAAAACCAGAATTAAAAGATTTAACAGAGCCAAAAGGTAAGCATGAAAGTAAAAGTGCAGGTCTCAGAGTCCCAAGCCCATCTCCACAATGGTGCAGGTGCCGTTCCATTTGCTAGGCCGCTGTCACTGCCTCACCGGCTTGTTCTCACTGCCAGCTGCTGCTGCCTCACCGGCCTGTTCTCGCTGCCGACTGCTGCTGCCTCACCGGCCTGTTCTCGCTGCCGGCTGCTGCTGCCTCACCGGCCTGTTCTTGCTGCTGCTACTTCACCAGCCTGTTCTCGCTGCTGCTGCCTCACCAGCCTGTTCTCGCTGCTGCTGCCTCACCGGCCTGTT